ATACAGGGTGTCCCAAAAATGTCTCGCAATCCGAAAGTGGCGGGTTCCTCAGGTCATTTGAAGCAACTTTTTCCTGTAGAAAAATTTTCTCCGAGGCACCGTTAACGAGTTATTAACGAAAAACAGTGACCAATGAGAGGCGAGCTCGGCTGGCGCGAGGCGATCGAGCCAATGAGCGGAACTGGGCTTCGTGCGTTGGTTGGCTGGGCCGCCTCGCGCCAGCCGTACTCGATTCTTATTGGTCACTGTTTTTCGCTAATAACTCGTTAACGGTGCCTGGGAGAAAATTTTTGTAAAGGAAGAAGTTGCTTCAAATGATCCGAGGAACCTGCCATTTCCGGATTGCGAGACATTTTTGGGACACCCTGTATGTTAGGTTGGGGAATAAGTTCGTAGCGTTTTTATATTTTCTTTTCTTTTACAACGAGATTTTTTGCTGTTATTTGCTGTTTTTTTTTGCTATTCGTCTTTTTGAGTAATTTAATTTTTTATTACTTTCGAGGCTTATAAATGGAATATCCAGGAGGTAAAAAGCAACATTTTCGACACCTTCTCTTCTTCGCTTTTCATCGAGGCTAAAAAGCTGCTGAAGCAGCTCGGGACATTTGCAACGTATACGGAGAAGGTGTCATAGGCAATTCTACAGCACGGAAATGGTTTGCGAAGTTCGAAATATGCATGCTGCATATTTCAGAAATATTATATTATCGAATAATTAAAAAATAATTAAATTTATTAATTATTAAAATTATTAATTTATTAATTTAATAATTAAATATATAATCGGTAACAATGTAAAAGTTACTTCGACTTTATAATTACGGACACCACTGTGTCGTCGCGTGAAACGGTTCCCGAAGCAGCTTTTCGTTTCCTATTAACCCTTTGCACTCGAAGCCATTTCAACTGTAAATCTAAATTAACTTTTCCGACTTACAGTATTTCCATTTTATACGACAAAGTGTATTTCATGCATATGAGAATTGAGTCTTGCGACTCATGCAACAGTTAGACTTTTAACAATCTTTTTGTATCTAAGCTTCGATAATATAAATATTATATTAGAACATGATGTGATAATTTTAGTGGTGCAAAGGGTTAACATGGGGTCGGTACATCGAGAGTCATGCCCGCTTCGAAGCACGCGCGGATCCTTGCCGCGTAGACGGTGTAGGGCAGGGGTGTCAAACTCAAAAGCTAACTTGGGCCAAATAAACAATGCTTAACTTTCGGTGGGCCGCAAAAAAAAAGAAAAATCAATGTTCATAGAAACAAATATTTTTATTTTGACTAGTACATTGTAATAAACATATACATATAAAGTTAAATTATTGTTTACGTCCTGATACTTGACATCTCTTCTCCGATACTATCTTTCCTATTTCGGGAGAAATTTTATTGGCCGAGACTGCTTTCAAAATTTCTAATTCACATTTCTATCTTACTTTTACTTTGCGTCGGATATATTGACTGGGCCGCAAAAATGTTCATCTCGGGCCGCATGCGGCATTGACACCCCTGGCGTAGGGCGTAGGGCGTAGAGGAGAATGAATTTTAAAGAAGCCGCGCACGATTCCCGGCCATCTATGGAGGATCGAGGAAACCAGAGGGCTCTAGGAAGGTCGACGCGTGCGTCGCGTCGCGTCGTTTCAAGCACGTACGCTCCAGTCACGACGGAAAGAGTAGCGCAGACTATAAACTGCGACTACGCTTACAGCAAGCTATAGCTAGAGAGCTATACGGTTGTGTAGCTGTAGCAAGCTACGCGGACAGGGCATAGGAGCAGGCAGGCGATTCGGGCAGGCAAGCGGACAAGCGGGCAGGCGGGCACAGGCAGGGTCGAGAAATACTCGACGATCGTGGATCAGTGGTCTCGCGGCAGTCGAGCTGTACAGACGTGGATTCTGCGTCCGCTCTTTCCGCGCTAGATTCGATCGAGCACAACGGTTCGTTTCAATGTTTTTTCCCTCGATAACCTCCGCGTTCTCTGCTCGATCGCGACGCGAGTTTAATGCTCGAGCAATCCGCGATTAACCGCGTCGGAAGCACGGTATCTCGTACACGTTCGCGAGTTACATGGGAATCGGAGATCGTAGCCGATACTCCGTATAATCTGTTGGAGTACGCACGTAGAACAACTCCGGGTCAAGCAACTCCGGCCATGCAAGAGAAAAAGGAAAAGACCGGCTGGGTGAAATCGGAGGATATGTGATCGAGTCGCTCCGGATCGGAAACTGTGTGAGTACGTTTCGTTTCGAACTTTTTAACGAGCGTTTTACGAGAGCTGATCGCGTCGCGTCGTCGGTCTCGTCTCCCGTTGGTTTCGCTCGGTTTCTCTCGAACGGAGTTACGGACGTTCGCCGGGATTTTTCACAGGTCGAATATTTCCTCGACCGGCCGAGCTAATAAATCTCTCGGCTCTCGACGCGATCGTGTTTCGGGGAAACCCGACTTAGGGACCTCTCGGGGCACGCGGAGCGCACCCGAGGAGCAGCCGACCGATTATCTGCTTTCTCGGATAACCGAGAAAACCCCGAGGAACCCGAAATACATACAGAAACTATCGACCGGAACGAGTTTGCTCCTCGCAAACAAACGAACGTACTCGAAGCTCGTGGTTCTACCGAATCGGTATTCGGCGAGAATGGCGACGGCCGAAGGGCCGCGGGGGGTGTGTGCGCAGGGGAATACACTCGAAAGGGAGACAGACAGGTATTTTACGGGTAGAATCGGCCGGTTGTCTCGTCACGCGTTCCTGTCGAAACCGCCCGTAAATCGTCTCTTCCAGTCACGTACGCGCCGCGTTCGCGCGCTGCAAACGATGTTTTTGTTCTGGCTCCGGTGACCACCACCGTGTATCCTTGGGTAATTCGAGCGGTCGCAGGGTTCCAAGCGTTTCGATTCGTGACGCGTAACGAAAAAAGAAATCACGTATTGTCCGATATACAGAGTGTCCCAGAAATATCTCGCAATCCGAAAGTGTTCCTCGGGTTATTCGATGCAACTTTTTCCTTTAGAAAAATGTTCTCCCAGGTACCGTTAACGAGTTATTAACGAAAAACAGTGACCAATAAGAATCGAGTACGACCGACGCGAGGCGGCCCAGGCAACCAGCGCGCGAAGCCCGGTTCCGCACATTGGCTCGATTGCCTCGCGCTAGCCGAGCTCGCCTCTCATTGGTCACTGTTTTCCGTTAATAACTCGTCAACGGTGCCTCGGAGACAATTTTTGTAAAGGAAGAAGCTGCTTCAAATGATCCGAGGAACCCGCCATTTCCGGATTCCGAGACATTTTTGGGACACCCTGTATTCGTTGGATCGCGCTTGGAGCAGAGCGGAGTCGAGAAGAGCGCGGAGTCCGGAGCGGAGCGGAGCAGCGAGCCACGCAACGAGTTTCAACGATCCGTATAAGGAGTTGCTCTGCCGCCGGTTCTCTCTTCTGCCAGTCGGTCCACTCGAACAACCTCTCGAGGCTCGTTCGAACGAACGCGACGACGACGACGACGCCGACGACCTAGAAAATGCACCTCGCTCGTCTCCGGATCTTCGCTCGGATCCACGCGCGCAAATTCGCGAACGATCTCTCGTCGCCTGTCGAGCGTGTACGCGACGCGTAAAAGTCACACTTTCTCTCGCCCGCGGCAAGGCAGCCTCGCGACGATCGGCTTACCTTGCCGCGTGCGTCGTCGACCGCCGTCGGGCTATAAAGAACGTCGAGCGACGGAGCGTTCGCGCGGTCGCTGCGGAACAACCACCGACTCTTACGGATCGAACGAATCGAAACGGTTCCCGAGCGTGATTCCGAAGCGGCAAGACAGGGCGACGCCGCGCGCCGCTGTATTTCCGCTTATCGCCGTTGTCGATCGTCGTCCCCATCGATCGATAGGACGCGGCGTTCCGCGCCGCGGAGCATCGCGAATCCTCCTCGACCTCGGCCTCGGTTTCGGTTTCGCTTTCGAGATCGTCAGGCCGCTCCAAGCCGCGTCGACGCTTGGCCGAGATTCGTCTTTTAAACGACCGTGATTTATTGCCAGCTATTATACCGGTCGGACCGTGTCGTTGCTCCTCGCCGTTGTTCCTCCTCGGCGCGACCCGCGCAACCGCTCGCTCGGCGACGCTACCCTTGTTCTCGCGGGGCGAAACTCCCTCTCTGAAAAACTCGTGGCTCCGGAGCTCGAGGCTCGGTTATCGGCGACAAGCGCGACGGACCACCTGTTTCCATCTGGTGCCGTTTTCTTCCGTCGCTCTCTCCGCAAAGAACCGACTCGACTCGACTCGACAAGACGGTATCGACTCGCGTGTCGCGCCGAGGAGAGCCGCGTCCGCGTGACGTGACCATGTTTGGCGACCCGCTCCCATAAAATTTCTCGCAGGCCGTTCGCGCGCGCTCCGCCACGCGCGGCTACACTTTATTCGTGGTACATTGCAATCTATTCGCCTACCGGCCCGAGATAAATCGCGGACCGCGCGCCGTGCCGGGTTGTCGCAGAAGAAACCGCAGCCCGCGATCCAGCGACGCTTCTGTCCGTGGACCGAGGGAACGGGTTGCTCGCGAGCAGATGCGAGGAGAGAACGCGAGGAAAGAGAGAAGGCGCGCGAGCCACACCCTGCGAAGGGGATTCGCTGGAAAAACCGCGTGCGGCGGACAAGCGGAAAGGTGGGACCGACGAATTAACGTTCGATGCCCGTCGACGTAACGTTTTATTATTGATTTATTTGTTTATTTATTTATTTATCGATTAAAATTCTTTAGCACGGTTCGGTACAGTACTTGACAGCAAAACACAGCGAACACCTTTGGGAAACTGGTTATTATTACTGTTTATTTGTTTACGGGAAGAAGAATCTCCTTGGAAAACGTACAAAAAGATTGCAAATTAACGGTACGTTGGAACATAGTAACGGTTCTAAGCTATAAAAGATCGACGATCGTGAATTTTACCATTCCAATCAACCAGGGCTGAAGAAGAAAAGAATAGATTTTTTAAATAGTTTGTATCTTCTCTCTCGTGTCGTCGTGTAATACAGAATTTGGCGAATAAACTTTCCTTTAAATAGTAGTTGACCATGTGGAGATAGCATTTTCAAATACATACCTATGTGTTCGTATGTAATTACCATTTCAAAAAAAGTTTTTTGCTACTTTGCGGCGCATGAGAACATAATAAATAAATATATATAATAATATATATAAATAAATATATATTTATATTATAAATATATAACAAATATATATAAATATTTATATTATAAATATATATAAATATATATAATAATAAATAATATATAAATATTTATAGTCCGTTTACTATCTCAGAAATCGATTTTTCCGCAAAAATTGTTTTAGCTAACAAAAATTAGTCTTTAATCTAAAGAAAAAAGAAATCCAAGCGGATTGGTCCATATCGAAGAAGTTGTTCCGTTCGAAAAGTTGTTGTCTCAATGTTGCTGTTCAGCGTGTACACATGTACACGGAGGTCCGTCCGTCCCTCTTTTCGAAGACGTGGGTGACGAGCAAGAGTTTCGCGTTATCCTGCTTGGACGAAGAAACCGATCTAATCTCGCGTTACCTCTTATCTTTGGTAATCAAAAGCCGAGTGGAAAGAGTCTCGCGCGATACGAAGTACATATACGAAGGCGTTCGTCGAGCCGATGCTAACGGTACTCTCCGTCGCCGACTCCTCCGCGGGTTTCGCCGTCATGACATCGAGCGTCTCTCCTCGGTGCTTCTCTCCGAAGCCGCGCGAAGCCTCGCGGAACTTGTTCATCGAATCGTGTTCACCGACGCGAGAGAACCTTCGAAGCGATCGAGTAGAGTTTCATCGCGAGTCCCCGTCGCGTTTCGCCTCGAGGTTCTTCTTCGAATTCTTGCGCGCGCGACACCTACGCGCTCTCCCCGGCCCGTCCCTGATCGATCGATCACGGGCTATCTTTCTGCGGCTGTTAATCAGCCGCGATTAACACCGGCTAACGCGCCGTCTATTTTCCAACCCGAGGTTATCTCCGGCACGATAGATAAACAGAAGATCCGGAGCCCGAGAACGAACGGTGCGTACGCGTACGTCAGCTTATGCGCGTACGCTCTACGCGTACGCCCTACGGGTACGATTGTATTGGGCTGGCAACTAAGTTGTTAGACACATGCGTAATGTGGTCACCTCGACCTGCCATGTATGTACATAGTCGGATTTGTCAGTAGAATGTCAAGATTTTTGAAAAATGTCTCAACTACAGTAAGGAGCAAAAGTGACCACATACATACACAAACACGCGCGCGCGCCTTTTAAAACGGTGTAATTATTATTGTAAATGTTAGAGTTCACTGTACACACACAATGACTAGAATACCTTTTTCCCAATTTCGCTACTATTTGGAATAAAAAAATTTAAAAAACTCTCGTTTTTTTTCACTTTTTTATTTATAATGAAAATTTAAAAAATGTGTTTGATACTTCTCGGTAACTTATATACGCGTTGAAAATTGCATTGAAATCGGTCGTCGCATAGCCGCTAAAACATGTAAAAATTACCTGTTTCTGGTTAAATATTCATGAAATATTACGATTCTCGTGATTTTTAATTATTCACAGCTTATGTCGTGATGAACCGATGTCAATGAAATTTTCAGCGTGCGCACATGTTGCCGAGAAATATCAAATGCATCTTTTCAATTTTCATTATAGATAGAAAAGTGAAAGAAACGATAATTTTTTACATTTTTTTTTTATTCCAAATACAGTCGATTCTCCCTAATTGACGCTGAGATTGTACACGAAAACGGACAATTTGAGAAGAGGAAATACGATTATTCGAGGCTTGCGGCTCGTTTTTATAGTCACCGATCGTCAACAACTATAAAAACGAGCCGAGAGGTGTCCGAATGATCGTATCTCCTCTTCCCAAACTGTTCAGTTTTGTGCACAATCGGAGCGTCGATTAGGAAGAATTTACTGTAATTTATAAAAAATTTATATTTATAAAAAAAAAGTCAAGTCATTAATCGTCAAAATCGGTACACTTTACCAATTTTACCAACTTTCTTTAAATACGTCATACTTTACTTAATCTTTGATCTATTGGGTTGGCAACTAAGTAATTGCCGATTTCAGTTATAGATGTCTCTCATTTTTATGATATCTGTAAATGTTATATTATAAAATTATTATTATTATTATTATGTTATATTTTATTATCCGTGAATGTTAGCAACTGGACAAATTGAATGCAGCGGTCAAGGAAAAGCGACCAGAATTGGTCAATCGTAAAGGTGTCATTTTCCAGCAGGACAATGCTGGGCCGCACACGTCTTTGTCCACTCGGCAAAAATTGATGGATATTGGTTGGGAATTGATGTTACACCCACCACATAGCCCTGATCTCGCGCCATCGGATTACCACTTATTTCGATCCCTGGACAACTCCCTTCGTGGTAAAACTTTTAA